ATAAATATTTAATATATATATATATATAATATACTAGCGAGCAAAAGAAATGCAAAAAACTATTTGGGTCATAACTTAATAACCAACAATGGCAGAAGACTGAAATTTACACAAATGAGAGCATGTCATATGTTCTTTAAAAATCAAAAGTCGCCTGTCTTGCTTGTGACCGAAAACTAGAGCTATTGCCCCTTATTATTGGAGCATGGAAAAAGCCACGTGGTGCTCTCGAAATAGTCTCAATGAGTGAAAAAAGTGTGAAAAGTATTCACCTGAGCTCGGCTATGAAAGTTGTGGTAAAAAAATCAGTTTGGCCGTTTCACCTGCATTTGTAATGACAGTGCTGTGTTTAAGGGCTATACAGCGAGAAAGAGCAACAGGCCGTTTGGCAGGTGGAGAAAGACCAATTGTGGTCGCCAATCATTTTGGTGTTCACATCTCGACTATCCACAGACTGACAACTCGTTTTCAGCTCGCGAATTCTACTTCGGACCGAAAAAGGTCATTTCGACCCAGAGTGACCAGTGCCCGTGCATACAGCACATTGTTGGGATGTATCGTTCAAATCGACTTAAGACAGCTAGAAGAGCGTCAGATTTGGCAGGTAGTACCCACGGAGGATCCAGAAGTCGACACACAGTAACCCGACGATTGCGTCAGGTTGGCCTTAGACGCCATCAACCTATTCATGGTCCTGTCTTGACCGCACACCATCGCCAAGAGCTTCTCAACTGGGCCCAGCACCAAGTCAACAGGCGTCTGAGAGACTGGTCTTCGGTTCTCATTTTCGGAAGAATGCCTCTTCTCCATAGATACAATAAACAGGGGCCTCAGAGTTTATCAAAAGGGAGGCGAATGTAATTGTGACAGCTGTGTCATAAAGAGGAGTCGCTGGGGAGGACATTGCGTCATGATCTGGGGTGGCATCATGTGGAACTACAAAGTAGGACCAATGATCTTCTAAAATCAAGGCCAAAGTCGAGGTCCAGGTATCAATGCTGCTTGCTGCTCAGCAGAAGTTCTAAGGCCCTATACACAGACAAAATTTTAACTTCAGGTTCCAGCAAGACAATGATTATGCGCATATGTCCCGCGTTACACAGGACTTCCTCCAACACCATGGCATAATTCCACAGCTTCACTCTGCCCCTAGCACTGATTTAAACCCATTAAAACCCTATCAAACATTTTTGTGATGAAATTAAACAACGCATTGAGGGGAGACAACCAAGGCTGAGAACCACTTAGAAACTGTATGTGGCCATCCAGGAGATATGGAGGCAGATCACGCTACGATTTACCAACAACCTAGTGGCTTCCTTGTACTGGAGATGTACTGCCGTTATCCGATCTAATAGATCCCATAACCACTACTGAGCATTTTTGTGCATTAACCGGAAGTTGAAAATGTAATCCGATAAAATGTAATATTCACAGTGATGCCCCAACTATCCTTTCATAACGCCAGAAAACAGTTTGTGTTTAAACTGCCCCGTTTTGTAAATATTGGAAAACGAACATGATCACCTTTGCAAAGGTAAACAGGAGTTTAGTATATATATACATGTATATATATTATATATATATATATATATATATATATATATATATATATATATATATATATATATATATATGTGTGTGTGTGTGTATGTGTATATTTATATGTATATCTATCTATCTATCTATCTATCTATCTATCTATCTATCTATCTATCTATCTATCTATCTATCTATCTATCTATCTATATAGGAGGCAGTTTAGTGAAATCAAAGCTCGTCAAAGTCATGAAACCAAAGAAAATAGCACTTTTCTGACCGTTGAGCAATTATTTTCGAATTTCCTTTATTTGGCCCATCACCTTTTATGTCCACTTTAAAAAACGCATTTCAGTGTGGATTTTTAATGAAAAAAACGTTAATCAAAGACACAAAAATCGAAATTTGCCATTTTCCATGAACACTCATGCTGTGGAAGCCACCAAACGTTGGCGACCATTTTTTCGCAAATTTTACCTCTGACACCAGCCGACCTCCACCTCCTTCAGTCGCAAATATCTCGACTTCTGTTCAAGACAGAATTAATGAGTATCTTTTTTTCACCAAAAGCAAGACAGATGAACTCACTTTAAGATGTTCCAAAATAACTCCATGTACCCCAAGAGTGACAGCACCTGTATTCACCACGTCATGACATATATACGCGCGCTGATATAATTTATAAGCATAAACAAATCCTATTTTAACATCCCCACTCCCCTTCCTATCCCTGCTCCCTTGACCTCCCGATCCCCCCTCCCCCGCCATCCCCCATTTCCCATCTCCCCCCGCCCCCGATCCGCCCATCTCCCATCCCTTTCAACCCGTCCACCCACGCTTCCCCCACCCCCCTCCCTCTGCCACTGATCCCCCCTGTCCCAATCTCCCCCCTTCCCTCACAGATCTTGGACAACAGGGCCTTCACCTGCAAATCAAAGCTCTGGAGCTACTGGTGCACAAGGAATTTTAACCGCTATGACGTCATACTCTGCTTGACCTTAGCCGCGGCCATTGTCCTGAGGGTCACACTGACGGGTCAAAACTTCATCTGGGCCAGGATTATGTTCAGCGTCAATTTCATCTTGTTCTTCTTCCGCATCCTCAAAAATTTCGCCGCTCACCAAATCCTCGGTCCTCTGGTCACCATGCTGTATGAGATGGTGAGATCGTGAGTCTCAAAATATAGGTCAATATAGATGATGAGATCATATTTCTGAACATATAGGTCAGTACGGGATGGTGAGATCATATCGCTCTACATATAGGTCACCATAGGATGGTGAGATCGTATGTCTCAACATATAGGTCAATACGGGATGGTGAAATCGTGTCTAAACATATAGGTCAATACGGGATGATGAGATCGCATGTCTCAACATATAGGTCAATACGGGATGATGAGATCGCATGTCTCAACATATAGGTCATTTCGGGATGGTGAGATCGTATGTCTCTACACATATGTCACCAATTGATGGCAAGAGCATGTCTCTACATACATGTCACTATTTGATGGTGAGATCATATCTCTCTACATATAGGTCACCATGGGACAGTGAAATCGTAGGTCTCTACACGTAGGTCACCATGTATATCCTTTGTTGAACTTTAAAGACATTTGATTGGCTGTTAGGTTACTATCAATATAAGCTGTGACAACAGTGATTGGATAACTAGAGATGGAAGATTCTTAAGCAGTCTTAGTGGTTTGTCTCCTTCTCTCCCTCCCTCCTCTTTTCTTTCTCTGTCTCTCCCTCCATTCGCCCCTCTCTCTTTTCCTCCATTCGCCCCTCTCTCTCTCTCCTTCTCCCCCCCCTCTCTCTCTCTCTCTCTCTCTCTCTCTCTCTCTCTCTCTCTCTCTCTCTCTCTCTCCCTCCCTTTCTTTCCCTATCTCTCCCTCTCTGTATCTCTCTTTCCTTCCTCTCCTTCTCTTTCCCCTTCTCCCACCCTCTCTTTCTCCCTACTCTCCACTTCTGGTATATCCCCCTCTCTCCCACTCTCCTTCTCTACCTTTCACTCCTTTCCCCCTCCCTCGCCATCTCTCCCCCTCTCTCCCTCTCTCTTCCACTTTCTCCCCTTCTTCCTTCCTTTCTCTCCCTGTCTCTCTCCCTCTGTCTGCTTCTGTCTCCCCCTTCTCTCTGTCCTTCTCT